ACGATTTTCTCCTACTGTTAGGCGCAGCCGTGCAGGGCACGGAAAATCGTTGAGTCCTCCATTAGCGCCAGCCCCAAGAACGAGTAGCTATCCGTACTCAGGATGTTGAATAACTCCTGTATACAAGTTCACAGCGGATTCGGTGAACTAAGCACTTCATAAATGAGCCAGCAGCTGAAACCAAGCACGTTCAAACGGCATTAGCCCCTAAAAAGGAGGCATTTAAAGTTGTAGAGCCCATTTCGGAATAGTCTGTTGCATAGAGAGGCTCATGGCTCAAGCACAAGAGATCATTGCGCAAAAGCTCATTTTTGCCGCGCCTTTTCAGGAAAGCCATTAGGGAACAGAAATAAGTCCTGCGAGTTGAGGACGATGAAAAGCTCTTCAGTTTTCTTGGGCAAAAGGTTCGAGGACACGTTTTTGTTCTTGCAAAAGGCTTCCGACTTATATGCAAATGAATAATGAAAAGCTGCAGAACTGCAAAATTGTGTCGCTTAAGAGATCCGAACTCTCAGCCTGATGTTCTTTTATTTTATTTGATGCACTCGTTGGTGCGCTTACAAATCTTTCGTAAGCGCATACAGATAAAACAAAGCGACGAAACGAACTGTACAGAAATCCTAAAGAAATCAACAGGACTACACAAAAAGCATCTGTAATGGATAGGGAGCTTCCATTCAGAATGCAGTTAGGAAAGACGCATATATTGCTCATGCTTATATGGAGGTTTGCTTTAGAGCAGGTAAACAAAACCAAATTCGAGAAAAAATTATCTTTAGCTGGCCGATGACGGTAGGGAGAACGTCACTCCTAGACAGGCAAAGTATATACGTGGAATCTGAGACTGTGTTTTCGGATGTCAGGTATTCCCCAGCCCTAACAACTCAGTCTCCTTACTCGCCTTCGATTTCTGCAAAACGTATACACAATAACGAATTTTCAGTACGGGCGCAAGTGGCTCACAAAAGAATTAATGGCGTGAGGTTGAAGGCGTTGGCGATAAGTCGGACAATCAGCGGAACTCACAAACCATATTTGAACATCGCGTATCTTCAAACCTCAGAAACAAAACCCAGTTTTCCAAGACAGGGCGCGGATCTTAATCAGGTCATTCTCGTACGTGGGCAGATTTGGCATGAAATTGGGTTCTAGGTAATTGCCTTCCTGAACTTGAACATCGCACCATTGGCCTGACCCTAGGGTATTTTTGGCGCTGGCGCTGAAGTAATCTAGGTTACTACATTCAGCTGAAAAACTTGTATACGAAAACCATTTAACATCTTTGAAGCTATATCACATTCATTTTTGGCCGCTGGCGCTGATGGCAAGACTTGTGATTATCTGCTGCGCTCTTGTATTGCTGGCCTGATCCTAAAGGACACTCTTTTCCAACAGGCCTCAGCCTTTGTAATGATTAGGGCAATAAAACCCTCTATGTGCACGTGTTTTTATCAATTTTGATGAAGAAAGGAGCGGAAGTCCATAGTCAGCACCCAATAGGCAGTCAGGGAGGAAAAACTAGATGTCGGTAATCGTGATCAGGACATCAAATAACCATACCATGCAAATTTACAATTTGCTTGGAAATGGTGGCGGCGCTTTTGGAGCGCTAATTCGATGCCAAGCGCCCAAACGATACTATATTCAGTGATATAGCGACACCGAACTAATCTCTATGGCTTTTTAGTAATAGTATTAATAGTGCCATTTAATGGTTTTTCAGCGTTTCCAGCAACAATAGTTTGAGCCCTGCATTTTCAACTTCACGCATTCCGAGGAACCTTCTCGGTTACGCATGAATGAGGCGATTGGTGCTGCTGATTTGTGGAATAGGATTAGACCTATAGCATAGGGATAAAAATGAAAAACCTTAGTTTCGCCCGAACAGAACGAAAACATGTCATTCTTCCCCTCTCAGCCACTTAAGCAGATTTTTGACCAAAAGTTCTGCTTTTTTGATCCAAACAATAGTTTAGTTCGACTTCCTGCACTGATTATTAGCTGAAATAGTTCACGCTTCTGTTACAGCAAAACCAAATTCATATGTCAGGCAAATCGGCTGGACCACTACTTCAGGTAAACGCGCGTCGAATAATGGTGCGAGTTCCGTGGTCCGACTCTGCAATGCACTGTTATAAAACCTCACCGCCTAAACTTCTTTGTGAGGCCACTTGCGCCCTAAATGAATAATCGGTTATTTGTAAAAGTATGGTTGTGGTCTTGCAACAAACTCTTGAATTTGTGAAGAATTTCGATGCCATTGGAACTTTTGTCACTCGTGCGACCCCTTATCTAATACATTATAATCTAGAATACCATTAATGATGCAAACAGGTAGCAATGATATCAAATTATAAGGTAAACTGCACAAAAGCGACGAATTTGATGAGATTTTAAACGTTTAAGTCGACCCTATTGTGTGAATAAAATATAAGAAAGTAAGAGCCGAGACCAGGCCATCAGATTACGTTTGATTCCGTTGCTGTAGAAAAGTCCTGGTTCGAGATGAACAAAACAATAGAATTCAACTCTTCCTGAAATTGGACAGTTCACTGACGATCGCCAGTATTCGGTGCACTAAGAAAATCAACTTGCTTCAACCTCGATTTGAAAAGCTGGCTATTTTCGGAGCTCATAGCTCCCCTGGGTAGAAGCTGAAACCATCTGGCCACGCGGTATAGGCAAAAGTTGAAGAGGAGAGCAGAGTTCCTATTCAAGGTAATGCAGGTTAATATAGTATGGTGTAAGGTATTGCGCGTCATGTATGGTATGTATGTAAGACAAATTTTTTTTTGAGCCTCACAGTTAGTTAATTATTATGGGGGTCAATATAAGGAGGCAGTTTGGCTTTACTTCACGTGTCCTTAGACGGAAACAAAACGAGATATGTATCCTTCCTTTATGCTCGTCAGGAAGGGAAAGTGGGAGTAATGAGTTGTATAGGATCATTTCAAAAAATATGTATTTAATAACATCATAATAAGAACCTCTATGTCAACATATACTTTGTTATTTATTTATTATTTCTTATCATCAATATTATTATTTGTGGTTGTGTTTCCCTTCAATTTGTTATGTTGTTTGAGTTCATTTCCTCTTTCGCATTCATTTCCTCAATGTGCAACCAACCGTTTTGAAAATGAGCCCTACAGCGTAGAACACCCCCTCCCCTCTTCGCCAGGGAAGAAATTTCCAAGGTGCATCCTGTTCCTAAGTGTTTAATACTGATATGGTCCTCAAAAAAACAAGAATAATCAATTCAGCACGTGAGAGAATGGTATGAGTGGGGTTCACGTTACGGAAAGGACGATGATATCATCCGAAATGTTGGCAGGTTTTGAATAATAATGAAGAACATCTAGTACACACTGGAACGATTTGTACTCTGGCACCAGCTCTGTTCTGAAAAAAGGGTGAGGACCACCATGTGTATTTTTTAGCTTACTTCAATTCAGATCACGAGCTGATTCACTCAGAATGACGTCAGGTTGAGACGCAAGCAAAATAATGGTTTCTGATAGAACACACAGCACTTTGCAGGTAGCCCAACTATCACTCATTGTGATAGCCTCACTTACATCCACAGTCTATGGGACTTCAACGCTTCCAACCAAGTGCTACTCGTGTTGAGAAAACGAATGCTTCTAAAGGTCAACCAAAGGCAATTGATAAAGGCAGCTCATAGTTCATTTGATGTTCCTGCGCCCTCCCTAGATATCGTGGCCCTCTCTATGAGGATGCAGTATGTACTAGTTTTGCATCTCAAAAGGGCGAGAGCATAGCGCCCTTCGCTAGTGAAGAGTCGGCCGCCCCGATGCTTTTTTCTTCACTTCTGGATCACGTATTATATGAGCTCCACAGTTCATTATTCTTGAAAGCTGGCTCAGCCCTTAAAGGCTAAGCCAAAGCAGTTATGGCAGCCAAGTGGGCGGGGTGGCATCCTCTTCTCTAGCGGGTGGCGCCATCCTCTCGTATTTTTGAGCTGCGAGATTAGTACATCCTCCACCTTTGTCGACAAATACGATATCTGAGGAGGGCGTAAGAACATCAAATGAACTCAGGTGCTGCCTTTAATGGAAGAATAACTTATCTCCAGTCAGAATCCCTCGCCCCAATAAGCTTTCTCGAGTGGATAGTTGAAACCGCAGTCGTTGTTGAGCATCGCACCCATCCTAAAGTACAGCCCTTGGCACTGAAGTCGGTCGGGGCGTATCAGCTGGGTTCACGTGAGTTTTGGCGCGTCGTCAACCTATTTCGATCGTTGCAGCCTCAGTCGTTCAATGAGTGTTCTGCAAGGGTGGTGGTCGTTGCGGGTTCAGTCGTTCAATGAGTGGTGGGCAGGGCCTGGCGTCTCGCCGAACCACGCCCCGACTGGATCCCTATTGCGGATCGACTTCTGTACCATGTCTTACGGTTTCCTTGAGTTCTGACTGCATCACACCGGAAAGCCTCAGGGAAGTCTTGAGCAACTGTGAACTTTCAACCGACGATGTGGAGCCATACATAAGTATGTCACGAGTAAGACTGTTATGTTACTTGTCCAAGGCCTTATCAATCAGTTGAAAGGTAGGATCCAGATGACACATACAGCAACTCACTCCACTTCTACTTGAAGAAACTGGAATCGATCGAATCGATTAGTATTGTGATCCACTACGCATGGTTCCATGAGGGCGGCTCCACCTAGACATTGCGCTACGGGGACCACATCGTTCAGCAGGGTAGAAAAAAAACCAAGCAATTTTTGAAAATTTATCAAATGTTAAATGTTGATAATATACGAAAAATGTGAAACATAGTCAACCTTCAAGAAGATTTTTACATTGCACCAATCGTCAGATACTCCTTGAGATAAAAAAGGCATTGCAAGCGCTCTACTGGCTGGAAATCTACCGCCAGGGTCAATACAACGTGCAAATTTTCTGAGTTATCCGAGATCAGAACCAGACAAAGGCTAGAAATACCCGTGATAAAAAAGTTACGAAACGTAATTGTAAGTACTACTTCCTATATTTAAGACTTTCAATTTGATATTTAAAGATGAGGTCGTTGATCTCTTTCTGTAGACGAAACGCCAATTCAGGATTCTTCGATTCCAGTTCGCGGGCAGCTTCTTCAATCATGCGACCTGTAGATCTTTTCCATTTAGTCAAACAGTCGAATCTTCGGCATTAAAACAGTGGAAGGCGCAGCTGCCCTCTGAGGGACAAAATGGAAGAGTCCAAACTTTGCGTGGACGCGCTATAATTGCAACAGTGCTCCATGGCGCGCTACAGTGCGTCATTGCGAAGTCCGAACGGCAAATGAACGCTAATCATGTGAGTTAGAATGTAAAGCTTCTGCCACCTTCCCAGGATTAATTGTGATTCCATGGTCAGTTTTGAGGCAAAGAACTGGTTTCAAGCAGAATATTTGACTATTAAGAAGCGAAACCCTTCCATTAGAACAGCAGAAATCGCTTGACGCCAGTGCGGGGTTTTTTTTTTGTAAAAGTGTAAACAGACAACTCGAACTTTCGACTCACCCATAAAAGTCCATTTGTCTTCACAAACCCGAAAAGACTGATCTGCTACGAAATCTCCGTATTTGGAGCCGTTCATGGAAGGGCGAGGAGAGGACTGACATAAAAGGTCGATGTCACTCTTCAGAATGTGACCGATCTCACTTTTCGCCTGAATAAAAATTATGTCGATAGAAGACCTTCTATAGAATAGCTGAACACTTTTTGCAAAACTAGGTCAAGAATATTGTCACTACGTATATTTAATGAGTGTTTCAAAAATGAATTATCGCTTAACAGAATTCTCCATTTGAAAAAGTGAAAATGCGGGTGCGCATACCGTTACTTGCGCCCGTAGCCGTAGGAGGCGCGGGCTGGCGGAAGAGATTGAGTCACTGCTTCAACGGAATCTTCACGAGGTGGAACCCATGTAGATAACGACCTGGAATAAAAACCATTCCAGCACTTGTTACACCGTAAGCAACGATATATTATGAAATGTATAGCGCTCATTTCTTTCGAAAATGCTTCAAAAAATTAAGTTTGAGCCATTAATGCTTGGTGATGACGTCTGCTTCGCCAACGCGGTGCCACTGTACTGCTCGCTTTGCAAGATGCTAAACGCAGACACGACGAATGCAGGCGACAGGCCTCCGTGACGGGCCGGCCTACGAACACCCATGTCAGATCATCATGTTTAAGGCATTCGACCCGTGTCATATGGTATGCCTTTACGGCAGCACATCGTTCTCGAAGAGCTGATTGAGTGGGTACGCATCCTATACTTCTGCCCGAAGAGTCGAGTGCGGAGTCTAGCACGCATTTCGATGGGTTCCCATCACAGTTGGGGTGCACCAGGCTCAGCGCTTTCCCCGCTGCTCTACATTGTCGTCATGAATGCCATCTCACGGGACCGTCCAATGCCGGTTCCTTGGACGATTCTCTACGCTGACGATGTGATGCTCGCGTGCGAGAATAAAATGGTCTCGAGGAACAAGTACAAGCTTTGACTGAACGGTTAGCAAACTTCGGGCTCAGACTGAAAGTCATGAAAAGCGAGTACCTGACGACTGACCGCGGACGAGTCTGGCTCCCTTAAGGTCAGCAGCAGTGTGCTCACGCGAACTAAAGCGTTCAAATACCTCGGATCAACAATTACGTCTGACGGTAGTCTCGACTCAGAAGTGAGCGCACGTGTGAGTGCAACGCTGGTCTAAATGGCGGTCTATGACTGGCGTTTCTCTGCGACAAGACAATACCGGATTGCCTCAAATCGAAGATCTATAGGACCGTCGTTCGACCAGTCGCGATATATGGCGCTGAATGTTGGCCTAAGACCAGAGAAGTTGAAGCGCGCCTAGGAGTCATGGAGATGAAAATGTTGCGATGGACGCGCGCGGTGTTACGCGTATGGATCGCATACGCAGTGACGGCATGAGGAAGAAATTCGGTATTGCTCCTATGACGAGGAAAAATGCGCGAAGCTCGCCTTCGATGGTACGGTCATGCTCTTCGCACAAATTGTTGACACTGTTCGTAAGATTGCTCTTGAGCTCGAAGTTCTCGGAAAGCGGCCCAGAGGACACCCCAAGCAGCGCTGGTCAGACACGTTGCATGTGGACTTAAAGGTGGCAGGCAACCATCCCGATCAAGCATTAATCCGGGAGAATGGCGTGACAAAACAAGGCAAGCGGACCCTGCTGCAGTGTGGAACAACCGCTGAAGAAGAAAGAAGAAGAATGGCATCAAGCGAAGAGACACCCACAAGGCAATCCAGTATTTTAACTAAGAACGTTGAACCCTCATCAAGAACTTGATAAGCCTCTCCGTCGAAGACGAAAATTTCCTGGCTCGCTAACCACCCAGAGGGTGAGTTCTGGTGGAGAGCTCAAGTGACCAAACAGTTTTTTTTGAGCAATACGAAACAAGCAACTGGAAAGAGAATGAAAGAGGTGGAAGTAGGTTGAAAGAGACTTGCACACCTGCTGCACATAAGAAGGAGTGTCCCAATGAGTAGAGGGTTTTGGAGTACAGTTTTTTGGTGCGACTTTGGGCCGTTTGATTGGAACGGTTTCCACCTCTTGTTGTAATGACTTAGGCCTGAACACTTCTGCATTTAAAAAAATATATATGTACTAAAAACACAATGGAGCTCTTCTGAGTATGAATGCTCACACATAGCCTAGTATTTTACGAATGTTCGCATCGACAGCCTTCGCAACGCTTGTGGTAAGCACCGGTGGAACAATACCTTAATAAATATTTGCAATTAGAGTGTAAAAAAAGGGGAATTTTTACCCACCTCCATTCAAGTCATCGAACCTACAAGCAGACAGCACTTCTGGCGAGAGGAAAAGCATACGTTGATAAAACTCCCAACCGCTCACTTCTCCCTGCCTTGCTTTCGTCATTTCATCGTCGAATTGACCCTTGAGCGCACGCCACTTTTCATATAAAACATCTTCTGAAAGGAAAGGGAATAAACAGTGAAGTTAAGCCGGGTCTGCTCGATTTTACTGGAATATTGAGCAAAATGATCTCACGAAAATTCAAAAGCAGGACCACTCCAGTTTCAAAAGTTATTATCGAAAGAGAGCAGAGGGATGCAGAAATCAAAGGCACGCAAAAAGAGCCCCGCCCCAGATGGCCAGCCCCTTTTCGCCCGAACATTTCCCAACTTAGTTAATGAGCTTTTTTGGAACTTGCTCAACAGATGCTTAGATAAAACCCAATTAACGGTTATGCACAACATGTTCACATTTTAGCATATGAAACATGGCACTAATAACCAAATAGGCAATAAACACAAGCAAATGGGAAAGAAAAGGCTGCATCAATGTTGGAAATTAGTAGACAAAACACAACAGGGGCCAAGCAAGTAAAAGCTAACCGTTAATAATAAATCCACCGGTGACTCTATGTAGTCTCCTTGATATGCCACGCAGAAGCTCCTTGCGCTTTTGCTGGTCGTTATAATGTGGATGGGCAAAATGCCATAGCGCAGGATGTTCTTTGAAGCTATCAATTAGTTCACAGACCACTTCGGATGTCCAGCTGACGTCTGAATTGTCATCCATTCAAAACTCACACACAAAAAAACATTCCTCAAGAATTCATAATCCATTTGCTCGGACTCAGGGTGAAAAGGACAACAAGTGCCGAAAGTAGCAGTTTAACTCCAACATTAAAAAGAATCTGACAAAAGTTAGTGTGTTAATGGAACACTAGCAAGGCTGCGTTCATACTTTGCGTCACTGTTTTGGGCTATCAGGAATGTATGGATATCGATCTAGCGATCTAAGCGTACGCCAGCGTTTTCAGCGACTACTCGCGAAAACGCTTAAAACTTTTGATCAATATCTATACTTTCTTGTCGCTCGAAACCTTAAAGTATGCTCAAAACGTTGACGCAAAACATCTGCCGCCTATTGCTAAAACTCAAAATGAAATCTAATATTATGAGTACCTAGAACCGAGTATCGTTGGTATTGTATTGTTATTGTTGCTTTCTTTGTTCAAAAACTGGTGGAGCACGGGTCTAGCACCGCCCCAAACTCATCCCACCTGACACGCCCTTCGTCCGCAGAAAAACTATACAGGCGGGGCCAAAAAAGTCACTTTTCTTTCTTGACTTTCGAGGCGCTATAAGACACACTTTATCAAATCTGATCGGACATTCCTTCCACCATATTGAAGAGCATATCAAATACTATCATGATACTCCGCCACAGCCTCCCCTCCCTTCTGGTACGCGACCGTGAGTGGGTACCTGAGCTCAGCAATATAGTTGATTTCTCCGCCACTGTAGGCCACCCTGTTCCGCCCGAACCGGGTGGTCCCGAGCTCCGCCCATACCGGTAATTGAGGGAGTTCAGGTCAGGTGACCTACCCAGATATTCCATTTTCTTCAGGTACTCAACGTCCTCCATTCCAAGTGGGTGAGTATTTTTCCAATGCCCTTCGAATCCATGAGGGTGTCGCCCAATCCTGTAGCAGTACAAAGTTTCCAAGAAGGTACGGGTGGCGACATGTGGGGAGGATATTCTTCTCGAGTTGCTCGATGTTATCGCCAGCGCTCACCTTCAGTCCGGGGTTCACGAAGAAAATATCGGTCTTTCCATTTCAGGTACTCAGGTCCCTACCATCACTCCGTGCCTTGGCGACTGTGGTGAAGATGATGTCCTAGACCGTGACGACGTTGTCGCAACTGCTCGACGTTGTGGGTCTTCCACATCGAGAGTACTAGTCTCCAGGTAGCTATCCATGGGTGACTCTATAATAGGAGTTCGTATCTTTTTGGAGGTGACATGAATTTCAAAGGTCTTTTCCAGTCAGGCTGCGACTGGAGATGACTTCTTATTTTGGTGTACATGAAGCTGATGGGCGAGAGTCAAGCTCCTGCTTATCGAGGAGCATCTTGCGGTACCTTCTGCCCTGGTACTCGTATCCACGTCCTCTGTCTGTGGCCTGCAAAAACTTTGCTGATTGTGACTCGGTTGAAAGTGACTTTTTTTGCACCCCCCCCCCCCTGTACATGCACGACCTAAACCGCTGCCATGGCGTAGACCGAATTAATCCATTCAAGCAGGGACTTCCCATTATCACTGAAGTTCACTCACTTCCCAGAAGAAGTGTGGACGTAGCTGGCGTAATCAGTTTAAAGCGAGGGGCGACTGTGCTTCTTGTAGAATACTGCCGTTAGCAGCTATACTCATGTCTTTGTCAGTACACGAAGGATGACGGTGGTCCTATATGGAAATACCCCACGGAAAAGCATCATGGCCATGTCCGAATGAAATACCGTAACGCGCGGCCTCTATCTTCGGGATATGGAATATACAGTGGGTATAAATGAAGCATTATCGCTCAATGAACACATCTGCTTGCAGTCGAGACTGATGAAATGAACACTAACCGGCACTGGATGTTTGAGGAGGCTCCTTTGCCATCTCTTCTGTTTTCTTGTTGATGTTATTTGACAGAAGAAAAGCTAACGTAGGTTCAGTAGCTGCTGGAAAGAGACCATATACAATGAAGTATAGAGGTCATTGCTGCCATGGTCATATAGTACAGAACACCAAACCTGAAGCTGGGATGTCTCCTGGTGTCAGGTTCAAACCGTCGTCCTCAGGACATTCCTGCTTCACATTAAACACTGAAAAGGAATATAAATAACAGAACAGCAACCATTTAAAAATAAAACGGAATCCTGTAACAACTTACATATGGGCTATATAAATAGTTTTCCAGATGAGTAATCAACTACATTTTTCTTCCGAAAAATTTTCAGTGTTCTCCACATTCGCTGTTCTCAGTTCATGCTCAAGTGCAGCCTCCAATGTACTCCTTTTCATGGCTGATTGCTGTCGATTAATTCCTTAGAAAACGTGTTCAGCATAACAACTAAGCGCAAGGATTCAAGCTGAAGTTAACCGATAACAAGGACCATGAGGGAAATAGACTTCTATATTACCTGGCTCTGATGCATTAGAGAAAGGATTGCAGCAAACAGCCATTTCCACTCGGAAGGCTGCGCATCCCTTCCTGAACTTCTTGCTCAGTTCGCTCTGGAACATAATTCTGAGTGAGTATATAAAAATCTCATAGCATCCCACTATATATAACCTGCTAATTTTGTCTGTTGGTGGTGGCGTGTGTGCGTGTTTGACCGGAAATTCACAACTTCATTCGATTTAGACATAGGAAGTTCGAATTGATAAGTGATATAGTGGGTGCGACTGGAATATTATGTGGATGACAGGAAGTGATAGCAGCTGAGATGAGCTAACAAGAAGCGCCAGAAAGAAAGGGTCGCGAACCCCACAGCGCCGGCACCAGCAACGATGCGATGTTCGCTCCAGGATATGGTATAGGGCATGGGGCAGGAACACTATTGGTGGGCGGCAGAAATTGACAGTTACTGGTAAGATCCGATAAAAGTTAGAACTGAAAAGTCGCCTGTTTCATGGCGCCCGTCACAGTAACAGTGAAAAGTTGGTTCCAACAGGTGATGTATGGGATAGAGGGGGATATTAATAACGGGTGATAGCGAGATAGCAATTGATAGGGTGTACTAATAATCCATCAGAACCCGCATTCTCTTTGATGTAATATAGATAGCCATTGGAATTACCGGTACACTTTGTTGATTGTTGTTGCATAACAGATGTTGAGCGTGACCTCGCTGATATAAAGAGGCACGCCCATATATGTGAGCATTCTACTAGTACTATTCTACCACTGAACACCTTTGCTGAGGTCAATAAACTCTTTTAAGCCCAGAATAGCTTACACAGAAGTACTCTGCGGGTGCCACAATACTCCCACAGAACCAACAGGCGCCACCCTTCCGCCTAAGACACCACATAGGGGCTGATAAAAGGCCCTGTCGCCATCGTTCTCTCTCAAGGTCGTACGCATTTCACTTCCAAAAGAAAGTGATATGGACATTGGTGACAGGTGACAGGCGATTATAACTGTTGATATAGATAAGTGGTTACCTTTACTTCATTCCTTACCACTATACTTCCAAGTGTATAGTGAACTCAATAACTCTATCGTTTACAGTCGAGCAGAGGGGGGGGGGGGAGCCTCCGCTTTATGTGAACGACAATGAGCATCGGCCGATATTCGTTTTGTTGCGGTTTTCAATAGCTCCCACTCCCCCTTATTGTTTGCTTTGAATTTTCGCGATTATCGATAAATCGAAATTGGCATCACTAACCATTAGCTGGAGTAAAGCGCCTCGCTTTGCTTAATCACGTCAGGCGTGCAGTACTGTGCGCCGGCCCAACTGGTCAAGTATAACGCTTCGTGCCTAGAGTACGGGACAAGTGAAGACTCAATGAACATTTGTATGAAAATTTGGTACCGTCTATCTTCTGTTGCTCTTTTTCGAAATAATGACGAATGCCCCTATACTATGACTTTTTTGAATGTAACATACTATTTGCGGTACTATTTACCCTTTTCTGCCCCAATCATCCGGAATCGAGCCAGTTTGTGACCGACTTTTTTTTCTCTGTGGACAGATTTGGCTCAAATGTCGTCTCCTAGGGTAGTTTGACGTCCTGAAAACTAAGATCACATCCGTTTAACCCGGAACCAGCTAGCGTCCGCGCCACAGGCGCCGATGATCCAGGGTATTTTGGCGCTGGCGTCTGTGGCATGGACGTCAGGAGGTTTCGGGCCGAGCGGATGAGATATTCATACACAGGAGTTCATACTACCCCTGAAGACAAATTTTTAGCTGCTGCTTTTGCTCGCGGAAAAAAGTCGGCGAAGAAGTGGCTTGATTTCGGATGACAGGGGCAGTGAAGGGTATAGCGCTTTTTTTTCTGCTGCGAAGCGCAGTTGTGTGAGTGAGGGGGCAACGGTGGACTCAGTACAAGCGGACGAATTTGGTAATTGAATGAACGAGTTGAGGAGTGGGTGGACCACTAACCACAAATATCGTGAATGGGTATGTGACAGGCATTCGTAATATGCAGCACGGGCGGGCGCGGTGAGCACCGCTGCACCCAGGGGACGAGTTATCGTCCCGGACCGGTCGGATGTGAATTTCAAGTGATGGGGAAAGCCGATATTGCCTGCAGAAAATTTTGTCCTCAGTCGAACTCATATGAGCTTCGGTGCTTTATTCGACTATGTGACGCATATCGAGAAATTGCCGCAAAGTGTTACATGAAACGCTGCGCGCGACGACGCGACGAATTACAACTTACCCTTGTAACGGCGTGGACAGCTGCAGTAAGCCACCTCATAGAAATGCCAGTGAGGGAAATAATATAAGGCAAGGATAAAGGAAAAATGGTGGCTTTTAGGAAAGCTCCAACCACTGACTGAATATAAAATTTATCAAGGCCCAATAATAAAGAATGTATACACACCTTTGACTCTAAAACTTCCGCTTCAGTCTCTGCATAGCGAGCCGTAGCTTCCGATAACAGATCCGGCGTCAACGAGCTGGAAGAAATCCAGCCGGATATTGCTTCACTTCACTGTATTGTTACAAATGAGCTACGAGCAATACTCACTCAATATATTGAACACCATTCAAAGCGGATTCCATGTGGAATGACATGGCACTCTGGAATCGCCAATCGAAATGAGGCCGCTCTATGGCACGTGTGTACATTTCCATCATCCAACACCATTTTTCCAACACGAACCATTCTACAAAGCGAAGGTTGAATAATGAAAAAAAAAGTTCTGCAAGGCAGCTACACACTTTGCGGCAGCGTCCACCGAGCCAGCGACTAGGAAAGTACAGATATCGATCTAGCGAAGGCTAACATCTACCAGGGTACAGCAGTGTCTACCGCGTACAGCAGCGGCTCCGTGTGCTGTGTTTCTCAAGTTCAAAAGTAACCACGAAAACGCTGGATGCTCACGCAAAGTATGAACACTCTCTATCAAATACGGTGAAAAAATTCTGGAACATTCATGCGATCAAAAGGTCACAACTGGAACGAATGACTATTGAAATCGAAACTCTATGCACATCTGGTTGCTATTGTTTCTCCGCAAGTAGGTTTACTGTAAGTACCAAAACCCAGTCAACTATGGGATCATGTGCTTCACGACTTTTGAAGGATCGGCAAAGAGCAGTTGCCTATCCTTCAAAGTCATTGAGCCAACGAGGGAAGGAGCCTTTTGGCACCATTCAACTGCTGCCACCCTGAAAAGTAGAAAGGAATTTTTTTTGCTGAAACTTTGCCTATAGGGGTAATTCGGTATCCTGAAGGAATATAATACACATTTTTGGCGCCGACGCCAAACTGGCGCCATTTGGTGCCGCCGCCTTTCTCACCAAATTCGCTGTAAATCTACATAGTAGGGTCTCTCGATGTTCTGATCAAAAATACCGCATTAGTTTTTAGCCAAGGCGTCATTTGGCGCCACTAGTGCGCTGATTTAGCGCCGCACCTTTTTTTATGAATATCGATAAAAACCTGCATAATAGGGTAGTGTGATGCCCTGAACACGCATATGACTTATTTTTCGACACCATCGGCATTTAGCGCTCTTCTAAGGCTCAGCCTGAAGGAGTAAATCCCTTTAGGCCAGGCTCAGCTTTAGCAGAGCGCAGATAATCGTAGTGACTTCCATCAGCGCCAACGCCAAAAATGAATGTAACATTTGTAATTAAGAGGTCAAATAACCTCCGTATATAAATTTTTGGTGGATTTGGTGACCTGGGGCATTTTGGCGCGGGCGCCGGGCGGTTTTAGGCCGAGCGGACATAATATTCGTGTTTAGGAGGTCAAACTATCCCTGGGGACAATTTTTCAGCGGATTCAATGATCTAGGGTACTGGCGCCGGCGCAAGGCAGTTTAGGCGGAGCGGATATGATATTGTTGTTCAGGAGGTCAAACTACCCCTGAGAACAACCTTTCAGCAAATTCGGTGGTTGAGGGTTTTTATCGCCAACGCCCTTTGCGCGGGCGCGGAAGTTTCAGGCCAAGTGGATTGATTCGTGTTTAGAAAGTCGAATTACCCATAGTACCCAACTTCCAGCCAAATCTGCCCCCGCAGAAAGTCCACCAAAATCGGCCTGTTATCAGAAAACTGCGGTAGTAATAACTGAACAGTGTGAACGCGCTCTAATAGAAAGAATGACGAAACTGAGACTCTGAAATTCTGAATGCAGCTCACCATTCATACGACTGTCTTGATTTGACAGGACCCCGGCGATCTCTCGAAAAAGTTGTATGGACCTCTCCTTTGTGGGCCGGAAGCGAGCATCCCAAAGCGGTCTTCGATCCTTTACCAAGGCCACGAGGATGCCTCGTAGGGTGTCGTTCCATACAGGTCGTTCCTGAAATCATATTTATTAGGAAACTACACTCGAGCGAAAATTTTCAGTGATAGATACTCCGGAGACGAACTCTGACAAAGAAGAATTCTTAATATTAGAAAGTGGGTGGTAAATACTGAACTGCTCTGCTGCATTCCCAGATAAAGGTTTAGTAAAGAGTGAGAAAGAGAAGGTAGAAATTGGCCTCAGGTCCTTTAAAGGACTCCTCCTGCAAAACTCCAAATCCCCATCAGAAACGAAGATGTTTACCCAAGTGAAGAAGAGATTCAATGATATCTACTCCGGAGTGGGTGAAACAAGCTCTTTATCTCTTTATTGAAAAGTGTGTCCCGCAACACGGTAATCTGTTTGCGTAGGGGGGTCCTTAATTGCCACCTGGCCGAGAATTATTAAGGCGCGTTAGGCCGTAGGCATGCAGAAATGCCGAACCGGGGAATGTGCAGAAGCGGATTTTGCAGACCTGCGCAATCGGGGGAAATGCAGAATCAGCAGGAAAGAAAGAATATCTATCGATATGAAAAGCACCGGAACTCGAAGAAATGCAGAAATGTCGAATCTGCAGAAATGCCGAAATTTCTGCGTTTCGGTGCTTCTTCTTCCGGTAGAGACAAGCGATCAATCCCCATCAAGTCGTTGTCCATCATTTTGGCATTTCTGCAAATTCCGCATCTCTCCCGGCTCCGCATTTTTTGAATCGATACATATTCTTTGTTCAGTCCGCAGTTCCGTCGTTCCTTTAAGGTTTTCAAGTGTGAACGCGGTTTTACTGTAGCAACTGATCCCAATCAGAGCACATAATTAGTTGGGGATTTTGACCAAGTCACCGCACGACTCCTTTTCTTAGAGAAGGGGATGGTTAGTGCGACCCCGCGCCCCTGCTTCTCTCCCTCATCGAGCTGTTCAAGCGGGGACTGGTGGGGCATAGAGGCATAGCACATATGACACAAGAAAGACCACGAAAAGGAAACAACCCCTCTTAGAAGGCCAGAAGACAAATACGACCCCTCCCAGCGTCCACAAATCCACAAAAACCAACTATCAAAAATTTTTTCCCTGTTTTAAAACGAAACCCCCTCCTCGGCGACCAACTACGACTGCCACTGCGTTGTGGAATGATGTGCCCCAACCATGATGTGCCCCGATCCCAACCCTGGGAAGAAATATGTCCCAGGGCACATCATTGGTTGGAGATTTTAGTCGCGTCTATACGACCCCGTTCCCTCCGCCGCCCTCTGTTACTCCTCATCGAATCGAGCCGTCGAGCGGGGGGAGGCATATAGTACGCATGGAACAGGAAAATCACCAGAAAGTCGACGACCACTCTTACAACGCCAAAACGTAACGTCCGTGAAGCGAGAATCAACTATCAAAATGAATTTTTCCCAGCCCAAATAGGATCCCCCTCTCCTGGCGGCCAAATACGACCCCTACCCGGGACTCCCTAACAACGATGTGCCCTGATTGATATGTCTCTCATCAATACGACATCAAGACAGGCGTGAAATACTGTACTTTCGTGCAACGGGACAGAATGCACACTATTTTACGCAGCTGATGTTATTTCTGTCGTTCACAACGCAACACCCCTTCGGATGGCAATGATGAGTTTTTGGAAAAATACCGAAAATTTGAGCATTACAAGTTACTCCTGGGAAGCCCGAAGAGATTTCTCATGCCTTCCTATCTTTATTTTTGTGCAAGAAGTTGCTTTGTTGTTCTAAGAAGTATTAATTTCAAGTCAATCAAACAAAAAGTACTGAAATAATCTGCACAAATCCATTGGTACCAAAATGACCAGAAGAGAAACAACAGGCGCAAATTGCACAGCAATTCGTTCCCAGCAATTAGGGAAAATGAGATGTTAGAAAGGCTGACAGAATAATTTGAAAAGTGTGAACATCGCATTTAGCTTCGTCTACTTTAATCAGCTGAAAACCCACCCTTCTGGCAGCCTCTTCAACGCATATTCTCGAATGGCATCGGCTTTGCGACGCAACATGGCGAACTTTTCGAGTTGGCCGATATCAGCTGAAATCAGCTGATTGATAATTTTAAGAATTGGTTGATAACAGGTAAGCATAAATTAAGTAAAGCATTGAAAAAACAACCTCAGATAGCGATGAACTCGACAATTCTCTAGCCGCATCCAGCATCGATCGATGAGCGGAGGCGTGGTGTCAAGGACCACGCCTCTAGCTCCGCCCATTTGCTGGTGGGAGGCTGGACGACGCAGGATTGCATTGGCAGCGCTGGTGGTGCCCTCCTTCTTCATCGAACGTCCGCCGTCACGCCCATGTCACGCCCACAGTCGCTACGTCATGGCAACCAATCAGTGGGAATTTCTCTCTGCCTTGCCTAGAGGTGAAGGGGTTTTAGCTCTCTGTTAATGTCTGTTAAAGAGTAGTATTCAATCAGTTTGTTCGGGATATGCTGAGCCCTCCAAGTCCAAATTGTGAAGATGTTGGCACTATTCAACTATTACTACAATAATTTCCCGAAAACAGGTCGGATCTATCGACTTTTTCTACGCGGGCAAGTTCGGCTAAATTTATGTTCTGAGGGTATTTCGACCCGCTGAACACATCCGCTTGGCCTAAAAGCAGGCGCCAGCGCCAAAACTTTAAATTACTGAATTCCCTGAAAACTGTCCCCCAAGAGGTAGTTTAACCACCTGTACACGAAATATCACATCCGCTCCACCCGAAATCGCCTGGCGCCCGCACACAGGCGCCGGCGCCAAAATACCTTAGATCACCAAACCGCTGAACACTTAGGTTATTTGACATCTTGATTACAATATCACATTCATTTGGCGCTGGCGCTGATGAAAGACCCTACGATTATCTGCGCTCTACTAACACTGTGCCTGACCTGAAGAAAATCACTCTTTCTCTCAGCCTCAACCGTAGGAAAGCGCTAAATGGCGCTGGCGTCGAAAAATAGATGTCATATTCGTGATCAGGGCATCGAACAATCCCATTATGCTGGTTTTATCGATGTTGGTAAAAACAGGGCTGAAAACTAATTCGGTACTCGTGATCAGGACAGCGAATAACACTACTATTGCAAATTACTAACCGAATTTGGTGAGAAAGGTGGCATCAGCGCCGTGAACGAGTGCTTTATTCGTGATCAGGACACCGAATGACCTCTGTGGGCAAAGTTTCAGCAAAAAATGTTTCTGACTTTCTGGCGTAATAATAGTTGAATAGTGCCAAGATTTTGATTGGTATTGCGCCTAGAGAAGGATTCACAAGACAGGGAAATCCGCGGCAAGGAGGGGGGGGGTAGTATTTGTCCGAAGGAGGTAATGGGAACGAATCTGGCCTGGAAAAAATGTTTCTAATAGCTGTCCTCTTCAGTCTCACACGAGCGATTCATGTTGGAGAGCTTCCTTTGGGGGGGGGGGGAGATCACATTTGCTCGTCGCTTTGAAAAAAAAAGGGGGGGTCGTCGTACTTTCCAAAGTTCCCCGCCGACCTATAGAAGCGGCCTGAGGGGGCCCGGACCTTCTTTTCGGGCAAACACACTCCCAACTGAGCAATACTGGGTTCATCATTGCTCGAGAGGCAAGCGAAAGTAGAAAAATAAAAGATAAATTTACAGAAGACTATTCAGTAGAGACGTTATTATCAGAAGGGGGGGGGGGAGGTGACTGATGGAAACTTTCTGAGAAGCGATTGTTTCAAAGAGTCATTGAAATGGAAGAAAAGTAGCACTTCGCTGGGAAAGCTGGGGCGTATTAAGGGGATTCAGGGTTCAGCACGGCGCCAGGGCCTTCTCCACCACTCGTTGTTGCTTCTCCCTCTCTTCATTACAGCAGAACGATCTGGCACCCCTCCATACCCATTCCCCTGGCATACCACAGCATCCTTAGCGAACAAGGCTACTTTCGAAATCCCTGATATGTGGCAGGCATGGTTGCGGCGGTGAAACTAAAGGCGGTGGCTATGCTTTTCGTGAAATATTTTCATTTTGAGGCCGTTGTAATCATGTCATCGTAGAACAAGCTGATTGTCTGACGTCTCGAACTAAAGTAATTCACGAGTAACCCGTACTATGCCATGTTCGAATGCCGCGCCTACCCCGTTTCACGGTAAAGACTGGGTGTAGCGGCAATTCACGGTAAAGACTGGGTGTAGCGGCAACTGGGTCAATGACTGCGCGTGCCGTCCACGGGGTTAAACGGATCGTAAAATTGAAACGAACATCGGTTCTCTCCTAGGCCGATGAAGCCTTGTACCTACAGAACCGGTACGTTTTTACATGGGAGGATAAAGTGCTGACCTGTATATCGGCTGACCCGTGCAATTCATCGTCTAGGCTTTTATCATTTTTCTTCACTGATCATGTGGTGCTGATATTTTTTTAAGATATCACAAGATTGCTTAGTTGCGGGCAAAAGCAGGAGCACGAGATTCGAACACGCTACCGCTTGCCGGTCTGCTGCGTTCCTTATTACGCTACCGGGCCACTCTTGTCCTCTCATTTTTTAGATACTTCGTTTTCTTGACACCATTTCTCTACTGACAGTAATCGGACATACGCTGGGACCTAATTAATTCACTGATATTAAAAAAGTTCAGAAGTTATAAAATCAGTGATGGCTGTCAGCGGTGTGAATGTGATGTGTACCCACCTAGTCAGCTGTCAACCTAGAGTTCTTCGAATACTTAGGCCAACTGCATGGGTGCTGAAAAAGTGGAGTGCTAGCGGGATATCGAACAATATTGCTCAGCTAGAGGTTCTTCGTCTATGCTATTAGGTCATCCCATTCAAAAGTGCCGAGACATATAGAGGAATGGCAGAAAAGCAAAGGGGAGAGCAGCGGCTACTTTACCATTCGGACGCTAGTACCTCTAGCTATGTATCTGTAAAATTTGGTGAACTAATCCACAGAAGAAGTTCTCGAGAAATTGAAAAGAAGCCCGACTGGTGAAACTCAGCGCCGGATTTTCAAATTAGGCATTATAAAAGGGAAGTGCACTGCTCAAATTTGACCTGCACCTGCGCCGGACAGTAGTTGTGTGTACATGGTGTTCTCAAAATGCAAGGTGGAAGATTTGGTTCAGGAGCCCGAAAAAGGAAGAAAGGAAAAAAAATTTTTGTCGTGGATGGTCCCACAATGTTCATCCTGCACGAGAAAAATGGATGGATAATGTCAAGCGCTGAATGTCTGATCCCAGAGCCTGGACCTTTGTCCAGCTTCCCGCGAGACCGACATCCCTGTTGTAACTGCTGCCCGAGTTATGTCCGATAAATTGAGAATGGTCAAGAGGATCAGTACCTGAATTTCTTGTGTAAGCACGAATGCAGTACCTATTCTGTGCCTCTAGCAGTAATGTTCTCAGCATGAGATGTCATTCACGACCGTGAAAACGCACCCCGGCCCTCGATGAAATATGGGTGGTCTTGGACCTCGAGCCAAAACTCACAACCGTCAATTTTGTATCAATGCAGATGAGAAGCCGCCCAAATTCTACCATGAGGAATTACGTGAACCTCTATCATCGAGCAGCTCCGACATCGTCGCCACGGTCTAGGACATCATCTTCACCGCAGTCGCCAAGGCGCTGGTCGATGGTGGGGACCGGACGTACCTGGAATGGGGAGACCGATATTTTCTTCGTGGGCCCCAGACTAAAGGTGAGCGCTGGCGGTTACATTGGGCAGTGGAGAAACTCTCGCCTACTTGTAATGGAAGGGCCTTTAGTACCTGAAGAAGGTGGAATATCTAAGCAGGTAACCTGACCTAAACCCCCTCAATTACGTGGCTCGCGCGAAGTTCAATAGGGTGGTCTACAGTGGCGGAGAAATCAACGATCACGCTGAACTCACGCACCCACTGACGGGCGCGTGTCAGAATCTCGCGAGGGCGCTCCTCCAGAAGGCTGTGGCGGAGCATCATGATAGTATTTGATATGCTCTTTAATATGGTGGTAGAAATGTCCGACAATAGTTTGACAAAGTGTAACTTATAGCGCCTCGAAAGTCGAGGAAGAAAAAAGTCTTTTTTTGCCCCCCCCCTGTATATTGTCTGTTCCTCGAAAATCAGATCAACAAATGGATGATATCAAACAACTACAAGAAGGCCACCGTTGCTCGTCATAGTGCCAGACGTAACTGTATCCTGGTATTGTAGGGCAGCGCTGGAACGCAAACAATGCTGAGACTGGGTCAAAATCGCCTCATTCGCCAACATAAAGCCGTACGATTCCAACTGTTCTTGGCAGGGCTAATACCGTTTTGGACTCCAGAAATTTTGGCTGCGAGCTCATTTTATAAAGTGGCAAGGTCACCAATCCGCTAAAAACTTGTATATAGGGTAATTTAACATCATGATTACGAATATGACATTCATTTTTGGCGCTGGCGCTAATGGATGACACTACGGTTAGGCTGCGCTCTGCTAAGGCTGAGCCCAGGAGGTAATCGTAGTGTCCTCTCCTGGCCACAGCGCCAAGAATGAGTGTCATACTCGTAATCAGGATGTTGAATTACCCCCATATAACAATTTTTAGTGGATTTGGTGACTTAGGCAATTTGAAAATGAGCTCGCAGCTGAAATTTTGGAGTCCAAACGGCAATTAGCCTCTGGTCAGTCGAGTGTACTCTTCGACGGCAAAAGTCACAACGTTTTGTCATTCGCCGGAGTTGGCATCAACAGCAAATTTACTCGCACTTTTTGAAAACCGAAGGTACCAGAGGTCCAAACGCTTCTGGGCCCTGGTAGCCTATCATTGGTGAAGGAGGGGATCTACTTAACTCAAAGCGATAATAATACTTTTCGATCGTTTTCTCTTTCAGTTTTATATGAATAAGATGTTCGGCACTTTTTGAATGGGAAGACGTAATATTTTTTGGAAGGTAAAAAAATTTATTTGTCAGCTCGCAGAGAGAGATACTGTTGTTGTTATTTGTCGCAGCAGCCGAGCGATGGCCATGGAATGAGCCCAGCAGCGATATTTCTATCAATGGTAGTTTCCTGCCCTCCCGATACGCCTGTAGTCTTGTTGCCTTCCAGCAATTACGAACTGATGGACGTGCCACGTCGCGCTGTTCGTGTAGCCGAAAAGGGTT